ACCTCAATGTGCTTTTAACTTTATTCAAAGACTTTCATCGTTAACATTCTACCCCCTTACAATTCCTGTGGATCTTGGAGTTGTCAGAATGTGTGTGGGATACGGCTCAAAGGTCAGGACCTCAATGCTATCACCGAACATGAGCTGCACAGCAGAATTGCATTCATTTATCTACAAGTGTGATTATGTCTCCTCTTCTCAGGTAAGTTGAAGGGTTTTCAACTTGAACATCCAGGGTTAAGAATTAAAAAGCCTCCCACACACAGCTGATTTTTTAAAAGTGAAATATATAGGATATGGGGTTTTTTTCTGTGCAATGAACATGTACACTGATTTCATCAGTGACAGATAAATACTGAAAGAAAGGATTAGCGGGGATCCAGGTTTTGAAATTTCTGAAAGGTTAAAAATTTGAAGTAGGGGTGGAGTGAGGCACTTGATCAATTTGGGGAGAAATTCCCTAAAAAACCACTAAAACAGGTTGCTGAAGACAAAGACAAGAAAATAAAGACTGTCCTGTGTAACTTATGATTCCATGTATGAATATAAGAGACGTTGGTAGACCAAACGTCTATCAGTTTTAACCAGGCTAGTATTAATGGAGATACATTTTTAACCAGGTCAGTATTAATGGATATACATTTCATGGAGATTAGGATTTATTGCCACAAAGCTTAAGATTAACAAGAGGCCCAATGGGCCTGCATCGCTCACCTGGTATAAAACTCACACTTGTAACCTTAAAAGTGATCTAAAATAAAGCTACAGGCAAAATATCAGTATTTATGATTAAAATTCATTTAAAAGACCCTGTTAATTTTTTTTAAAACATTTCACCACTGTGATTGAAAGTCGAACAAAGTCATTATGTTGAACACATTGTATAGCCTTTCATCTCGGGATGCAACTTGCAAAGTATAAACATCCTGGGACCCATGGTTATTCATAAGAGGTTGTTTAAAGATTTTAAACAAATTTGACCCCTGTGACCTTGAATATAAGTCAAAGTCATTCACTTTAACAAACATAGTAGTCCTTGATCCCAGCATATGCTACTAACTAAATATCAACATCCTGAGCCTTTTGG